TCCCCGAATTCCCTTGCCCGCCATGATGGCTGGGGAATTCTGGGAGTTGGAGTCCCCACGTCTCCAAGTTGCCGAGGTTGAGAAACACTGTTGTAGAGGCTAGGGAAAACTTAATGCATTTATAGAGTACTAATTTATTGGGAGCCATGGAATTACCCTTAATATTTGTGCAAATTCTGTAACTTATACTGCTAAGCTCTCTGCTAATGGACAGTGACCTTTAGGTGATCTGAGGAGAGATTTCTTAAAATAACAGAATTGTCTATTGACTTGGTATACAATTTTGTACACAAAACTGTTGAAATACTAATTGAAGTGGGAGTTGAGTGGTCCTGTGACAGTGTTGTACCTAATTCAGGAAATCCAACAAACCCATACATGGAAGTAGGTTCTGTTGTGTGTTGCTTCTAAGTACATGCGTAGGTTTGGTTTGTAAATAGCTTAAGGTACTGCCGATGGAAAAATCACGTCTACGGATTTTCAATCACCCATAGGCTCCTTTGTGTGCAATCACTTTACAGCAATCAACATTTTACCAGTCTCAGACATGTGAAAACAAACCTGATAATGTTTTGTGTCAGCATATCATGTGAAAATTTTTACATGGCCCATAGCTTTCAGTAACAAAATGGGAAGGATTTTTATTGGAAGAACTTAATATGAGCCAGGTTTTTACTGCTCCTTCTGTTAATGTATATAAGCTTGTGTTTTGGAAATTGCATTCAAACCCCCCAAGTATCATTATGATTCTGCTTTTCTTTAGCTGAAGCAAGAAATATAAATATATTTCAGATTTAGGCTTGTCTGAACTAAGTTAAGTGCTATGTATGATTGTGCCGAGACCTACAATTTAGCTTACTGCTTATGGTTGAAGAAACTAATTTATGCTTAGAAATAAACCTGTATTAGGCTACAATCTTTTGCAGGCTGACTTTTGAATCAGTCTTACCAAACTGAGTAGAACTTAACTTCGAAATAAACAATGCAAAAGGCCAGTTTCTTATTGCATGTAGTGTGAGACAGATGTTCTTTGCCTACAGATTTCCAGCATGCTGGAAAGGAATCTGGAAATCATAACCATAGTAATTCTCAGATATATCCTCAAATGTCATTTAGGATATATTTATATTTAGTAGAATAAACTGCATATCCATTATGGCTGATCTTTTATTTTCATTTTTTTTTAACCTTTCTGAACAATGACTGTGTTCATGACTTTTTAACCAGGTCAATTACAGACTAGGAGATGCATTAGCCCAGCTTGATAAATTTGGTTAGTATAAATCTTAGTTAGGCTTCTATAGGCTCCTGTGTTGTGCAAATATATCCCTTTTGGTTACTTTATAATTCCCCCATTGGGTTAATTCATTACAAAGTTTAATTGAATTGTGTGAACACAGTCACTGAAATACAGAATGTGTGTAATATGCATGTGTACATGTGTACATACACACACTTGATATGATGTTTTGCCATTTTTAAAAGATGAAATAAATACTTATTTGTAGTCAAAATGTTTTGTAATGCCAACATATGAGATTTATCCTTTGAGTTTTTCTGCTTATGGAATATGAATTGTGGCAAAAATAGCGGCAACTGCAAGTTCTTGTGGCTTTTGTCAGAATGATGAAAGCAGCCGTGTAGCATCATGCCACAAGCTCCGCCCATTTGAGCATGGGCGTGGTCTTGTGACCCATGTAGAAAAGGGGCGGGCTTCATCCAAACACTGCTTTTGTCACTTGGATCCTCCTTGCCCTTTCCTTGGGCAGGAACAAATGCTGGGAGAGCTTGA